CTACCTGGGTGGCTAGCTAGCTAGCTAGCTAGCTGGCTAGCTGACTGGCTAGCCAAAAATGTCTCTACTAAACAGCTGAGGGGCTCAGCTGCAGACACAACACGGGCGCTGAGGCTATTCGCCGCGCTGCTCCGCTGGGGCCTCGATCTGTTGCTGCTGCTGCTGCTGCTGCTGCTGCTGCTGCTCCACTTGCTGCTGCTGCTCTTGCTGCTGCTGCTCTTGCTGCTGCTGCTCTTGCTGCTGCTGCTCGTGCTGCTGCTGCTCTTGCTGCTGCTGCTCGTGCTGCTGCTGCTCATGCTGCTGCCGCTCGTGCTGCTGCCGCTCGTGCTGCTGCTGCTCGTGCTGCTGCTGCTCTTTCTGCGGCTGCTCTTGCTGCTGCTGCTGTTGCTGCTGCTGCTGTTGCTGCTGCTGCTGTTGCTGCTGCTGCTGTTGCTGCTGCTGCTGGAGCTGGAGCTGCTGCTCCTGTTTTTGTTGCTGTTGCAGTTGTTTGCGCTGCAGGCGTTGCAGCTTGAGTATTTGGTGTTGCTGCTGCAGCTGCTGTTGCTGCTGCTGCTCCTGCTGCTGCTGCTGCTGCTTGTGCGCGAGCAGCTGTTTAAACATAAGCTGCGGGTTTGCTGCTGACTTTCTGCCTAAGGGGGGAACATACCCCGCAGCAGCAGCAGCAGCACCAGCAGCAGCAGGAGCAGCAGCAGCAGCAGCAGCAGCAGCATTTGGGGTTAGCTGCAGCAGCAGGTGCTTGCGTGACCGCACAGCTGACGTTCTGCTGCTGGCGATGTATGGATAGGAAGGCAGCCGCTCTGTGCTGCTGCTGCGGGCCCCGCTGCCTTTCTTCCCCTGCTGCAGCATTGATTCTCTACACCCTGCTGCTGCTGCTGCTGCTGCTGTTGCTGCTGCTGCTGCTGCTGCTGATGAAGGGAAAGAAGGGTCTGATAAGGAGCTCTGGTCGTCGCCCCCAGATGAGCAATCTGACTCACTCCCGCTGCTGCTGCTGCTGCTGCTGCTGCTGTTTCTGCTTCGGCTGATGCTGATGCTGCTGTTGCTGTTGCTGCTGCTAGCATGCGCTGCTGCTGTCTTTTTTGCTGCTGCTGCTGCTGCTGCTGCTGCTGCAGGGGTTTCTGCTGCAGAGTCGCTGTCCACTATAAAAGCAGGTGGCTGCAGCACCACCGCATCATCATTTGCTGCTGCTGCTGCATGCGTTGCAGCAGCAGCAGCATTTGCTGCTGCTGCTGCAGTGTCTGTTGCTGCTGCAGCTTTTAACATAGCCTGTTCTTTGCTGCTTTCTCTCGCGCTGTCTCTCGGCACTCCGTTGCAGCTCCTGCTGCTGCTCCTGCTGCTGCCGCTGCTGCTGCTGCTGCTGCTGCTGCTGCTGAACGCAGGCGGCTGCTGCGCCTTTCCCTCTACCCCTGGGCTTGCTGCTGGCGTCGACTCCTCTGAGTCGTTTGCATATTCAGCAGCAGCAGTAGCAGCAGCTGCTGCTGTTGCTGCTGCTGCTGCTGCTGCTGCTGCTGGTGATGATACTCTGCCTGGGGGCACGCGCACCCTCCGCAGCGCCCGCTGCCGCGGGGTAGTTCCTTCTGCTGCAGCAGCAGCAGCAGGAGAAGCAGCAGCAGCAGCAGCAGGAGAAGCAGCAGCAGCAGCAGCAGCAGCAGCAAGCCTTTCATGATGCAGCTGAAATGCAGGGTAAGGTCGACGGCTTGGGGTCCGCGCGAACAGCCAGGCAAGGGTTGCTGGCTGCTGCAGCAGCTGTTGCTGCTGCTGCTGCTGCTGCAGCTGTTGCTGCTGCTGCTGCTGCTGTGCAGAGGTGCTCTCAACACGCGGTGAGGTTGTGCGGCTGCCGGGGTCCTCGCGGTCAGCAGCAGCAGCAGCAGCAGGAGAAGCAGCAGCAGCAGCAGCAGCAGCAGCAGCAGCAGCAGCAGGATTTGCTTCAGGAGAGGAGACATCCTTTATAGACAGCAGCGGAGAACTGTCGCTCGCCGATGGGGGCAATGAACTCTCATCTTCTTCTCGTGCTGCTGCTGCTGCTGCTGCTGCTGCTGCTGGTGATGCTGCTGCTGCTGCTGGTGTTGCTGCTGCTGCTGCTGCTGCTGCTGGTGATGGTGATGGTGATGGTGATGTTGCTGCTGCTGGAGATGGCGATGCTGCTGCAGGCGACTCTGCTGCAGAAGCAGCAGCACCAGCAGCAGCAGCAGCAGCAGCAGCAGCAGCAGCAGCAGGAGAAGCAAGTATACGAGGGTTGCTGTCTGAGCGCCTCAAGAGCCCCGTTCTCGGGGTCAGTGCAGCAGCAGCTTCTGCA